GAGTCGGGGATTTCAAGGCCCAATCTTGAAATTATCCACCCGACCTTGAAATCCAAGACATTTCCTCGGATTTCAAGACACTCTTTTTACCGTGTGAGTCTTATTGGTAACCAAAAATGTCGCAAAACTGACTCTAAACGAGCGATGTTATAGGCTATCAAAAACGAAACCTTGCGGTTGTCCACAGAATGATGCGGGTGAAGTACGGCACGTAAAGTTGTGATGCCACTTGAATAAGTATTCTCGGCTCGTCTGCCGCCACAAGTATAAGGGCCCTGGGAGAGGATATTCCGAAAATGTGCCGAGGGTTTCTGTCGCGCGGTCGGGCGCTTACGGTGAACACGGACACTCCCGCCACAGGCGGAAGATGAGCCAGTAACTGGTCAAGCCAGCGGGACCTGCAACATGTATAACAGATAACAGAGCTACGTTAAATAGAAAACAGAAGAAATAGTACAAAACCACAATTATATTATTTTGCATTTTAAGCAATAATTCTGGAAGCAAATTAAGTGGTACACCCAGGTAATAGCCTGGTATCCTTAAACCTTGGGAATTTCATATAAGAGATTTAAGGAAATCGGTATCTTTGGTTTAAGGCATTTCCATTGACGTCAAGGAAATTCCGTTAATTTATTGGATGGTTGGTTCTCTTAGATTGAAGAATGATTGAAGCTCTTGAGTAGATGTTAGATGTGATTACAATAAAATATTCGTGCCCCCCCTCCCCCCTGCCCCACGAACTGGAAGAGAAGAGTGGGGGGCCGCGCGCGGCGGAGTGGGGGAGCGGCTTGTGCGCCTCTCCTCCTTCAGTTTTTGTTCTTCTACATTCACCGCAGCGCACTTTTCGACACCTCCTACGTACAAGCAGCTATCTTCTTGGGACGCGCAGACAAACAGCTATCTTCTTGAGCTGTGCAGACAAACAGCTAACTGCTTTTTCCACCTCGCGACTTTGGGCATTCATATTTCTGTCCACAAATGACGTAGACACTCTACTGTTGCGTCAACTTCTTCCTTTACTTTGTCAAAATATAGAATTTCACTCCCGATGTTCCTAACTTGTCAGTGACAGAAGTTATTGGACGGAGAATAGGTGAACCCTAACCTCCTAAAAAAACAGATAGCTGTTTGTCCGCCACCCTCCAGCAGATAGCTGCTTGTCTGCGCAGCCCACGAAGATAGCTGCTTGTCTGCACAGCTCAAGAACATAGCTGCTTGTGCATAGGAGGTGTCGTTTTGGAGTACCCCCCAATACAAGCCCCCCACTGTCATGAATGTAATTTACTTTAAGATCCGCGATTTATAGAACATTCACAGTCTGGCACTCACCGCCCTGTGATAAACAGACTCGAGTTGAAGGGCTCAACGGGCTGCAAATAGGGCGGCAGCAATGTCAAGGCGCACTGCACTTCCGGGGGCAGTCCGGTCTGTAGCTGAGACGGTCGGAGAGCAAGGCGGGCGAGGGTTTGGAGCATAGGCCCGAGTACTAAAGCGACAAGGATTCTGGTGGTATGACGCATCCCGTCGGCCTGCTATGTACCTGTGAATCAAATGTTGTACCCAGCAGGGTCCGAAACCTAACACATAGGTACAGTGCCCTTATCAATAACACCTAACGTTAAAGTTATTGTAGATATACGGCCAAGCGACAGGAAACTCTCTCCATCACTCTAGTGACTCAAAACGTTTCTCCAATACGACACTTGAAACCTTCTGACAGTTAGTTGCGGGCAGCTCCGTATGGACTACGTAATTCGCCGGTCACTTCAAACAATCAAAAACCATAATATTCGGCTTTGTACAGCGACCAGCTGATTTACGTGCTTGTACAGAGGTCACTGGAACTACTGCGTATTTGTATGTTTCAAGCGCCCAATAGGGCTATGAATAACGAGATAAACTAGCGCGGAACCCAGATCTGTGTCATCACAGAAGGTGCACCCAGACTCCAGAACTAGTTATAACTTTTAATACACTAGTCACGTAAAAGGCCAGCACTATGAGTTAGTGTAAGAACACGGGACATACATATGGCTTCTTCTCTGCTGCCTCGACTGCTGCCAATATTATTTTGTAGATAACAATTAATAGAAGTGAGCGCAGCTGACCTCATCTTTTCTTTAACTAACGCACAACTTTTCAACTTTTGCAAGCGACCATTTTATTGCTGCCAAATACTGGGTAAGCAAGCACCTTTTGTAAAATTCTGATGCCAGAAAAATTGTAAAATCAAAATACCGCCTCCTGCCATATTTCCTAAATTGTTATTGATGGTACTAAACTTGCGCCGGTGGGTTCCTAACTTACCGTATATAACTGATATTACTAACACAAGTCTTGTAAAATGACGACTGAGGAAGTCATCAACTCTCCTTTCCGAGATGACGAAGTATTCACCCCATCTCTGAAAATCTTACGGTCCGTTTCAGGAGAATGCTACCCTGGCGTTGAGGGTCTCATCGGCAGCACAATCGATAAACACCCAACTGTCTCACGCTATTTACCTCGTGTTCGTGTTGATATTTGCATCTCGTTTGGCATGTGCTTCATATTTGTTTCACCATTATTACTAGTCTCCACTGTCGACTGGTTGCAGGAATATGGAAAGGTCTTCAAGCTTAACACTACCCGGGCAAAAATCTTTAACAATTCTCCACATTTTTGGCAGATGTTACCTTGCACTCAGACTAAACATAAGTATACTTTAGTAAAGGAAGGTGTCATCGGCTTTAACTCTCGATAAAGAAATAATAAAGAGAACCAATAGCAAGCTCATATATCGCGCTAGGCGGGGACCGTAAGCGCGTCGAGCGCTGAGCCACGCCACGCGTTGTTAAGCCGACCCGAGCGCCTGCCCCTACCTCCTCCCCTTGCTCTAAACCAAACACACAGAGGACGCTGGATTGTAAGCAAGCGTACAGGAGTACTACTACGGTGACAGCTGAATCAGGGGACCCCTTTTTGCGACCCTATTTGGTTTCGTTCAAATTTTCTACGTGGAAAGAACGTGCCGAGCGAGTTATCCCGGGTGGAAGGATCTTTAGTTAAACTGTAGTTTGGACTATAGCGTTCAAACT